GCAAAATGCGACGGACGACGGGCGACGGCAGATATGGAATTCCACAGGAAACGCAGGACAGGTCAATGTAACGATCAGGTATACCGTACTCTCAAAGGGGTCCATTCACGGTTTTTCTTCATGAATATGGAACAATGCAAAAACCAATAAGGTGCCATTTTTAAGAACCTTTTAAAACAGCTACCCCCCCCATTAAAATAAGGTTGATTAAATCACAAAGGGTGAATTTTAAAGGGTCGTATTGTAAGCAATATTGCAATGCAAAACGCCTTTCAAATTGAAACAAAGCAAGTGCACTGATCTCCGTGTGCATTTTGTTCGGTATAGGTGAAGCTAAAGGCGCCTCTCCATGCACGTCAACACTTGCACCAAGCGTTGCGTGATCGTCAGAATCATCCCGGGAGCAATTTTGATGGCCCGAAAGCAATGCACGTGTTAATGGAGTCGATTTTTGTGTCCATGAAAGTGAAATGCCTGAACACATCGTGTACACAACGCACCCCCCCCCCAAAAACATACACATAGAAAGGCGCCTTTAGATGGAATAGGTACCCGTATGACGCTACGTAGCGAGCAACGTGCGACGTAACTTCATTAAGTCTCTGAGTTTGCACTCTGAAACAATCTTTGCACAAAAGAGAAAACTGTCTAGAAATGGCAAATGCCAATAAATCTAATCTCTTATGCTGGAAAAAACAAGCCTTCAAAGCCTGTTGATTTGAATTGCATAAGTGGCTAATGCTTACCCACTTTTTGCAAAGTTGGACCAATAAGTGATAACTCTATCGCTGAGAGCCTTTTCTCTGTCTGTAAAAATTGAGCCCATTCCAGAACCGTTAAATGGCAGTCCGAAAAGGAAGGGCAACTCTTCACTGTGAGGCACGAGGTTGAGCCTAGGAAATCTCTGGTTAGCGGAGCAGCGGTGGTCAAAAATGCTGACGTGTATGGAGCGCGAATTGGGCAAGACGTCCAAGAAAAACCGCAAGCCGCGCAGGTAATTCCAGTCCATCATCGTGTCCACAAGAGCTTTTAATGGGGCAAATCCCTCATTCGTCTGAATGGGATCGATGTATTCGTGACTGAGAGCAAGCTTGCCGACATTCTGTAAGTAAGAGAAGTATAAGTCACAGTACGCGTCCCACTGTTCCTCGGTTAAACCGACTGAGAAATTATAGAGATCGGGTAGTGACTTTTTGACGACCTCAAGAGCGACTGAGCCGTCTCCCGAAGTGAACAGCATCATGATATCGTGTTCAAATTCCAATCTTCCTGGGTTGAAGGTCCACATGTTGTTATCACGGACAGGCACCCAGACCTGATTCAGGGAGCTCTTCGCAACTTCCTGCCCAGCCGAGAGGAGCTTCTCCATCGACAGTCCACGCAGACATTCGACCAGATCCGAGTCCGGGCCGTAATCACACCCAGTTGCCTCGGCGATTTCTCGAGAAGCACCTCCTGGTAAAGCTAATTCAGGATGGCTGTAGCCGCTGTGAGCTGCTGCCCTGTGAAATAGAGGGCGACTTTTGTTGGCAAATAAGTGGAGAGTGACAGAGGCACCACCGGCTGATTGTCCAAAGAGGGTGACCCGGGACGGATCGCCACCGAACGCCGCGATGTTCTCGTGAACCCACTGCAGGGCCAGCTGCTGGTCCAACATACCGAAGTTTCCTGGCGCTTTCTCGTCACCCGAGGAGAAAAACCCGAAGATATTGAGTCGGTAGTTGATGGTGACCACAATAACTCTTCCCCGGACGGCCAGAGCAGACGCGTCGTACCCGCTACCCTGACCAGTCTCAAAACTCCCACCGTGGATCCAAAACATCACCGCTAATTGGAATCCACCCTCGTCAGATATAACAGGGGCGAAGATATTCAGCGTTAAACAATCTTCGTTGATGTTCTGAGCATTGGGAGGAATTTCCACCACGTATTCTGGATAAAAGACAGACACGGCAGAAATGTCTTGTGGGCAAGAGGGGCCGTACGCGGTGGCGTTGTACAGAGAATCCCATGGTGCCTTAGGGACGGGTGCCCGAAATCTCAGCCTACCGACGGGCGGCTCAGCGTACGGTATACCCAAGTACCGATGATATGGAACTCCATCTAAGTCCAACGTTTCTCCTTTTATTAATCCACAAGACGACCTAACGACGCGAGCTTGCAACCACGTAGCTTGAGTCAGAAACAAAGTCAGGACCACAAATCTGTTGCAAGCCATTGCTAAGTAAACTTGACGGTTTGAGCGTCGCATCCAAAGAGGCTCGATTTTGTCATCTTTAACTTAAATACCCCTTTGGGAAAAAAACACACTTCAAAACCAACTGTTCAGCCTCTGTGGGACTGGACCTGCTGAGGAAGATTGACAGCGCTCATGGCAACTTGGACGTGTGAGTTCGTTCCCCTGCCACTGTCAAAGCACATTGTCACTATATTTACCGCCACCCCTGGTACAACATCCCTCCTCTAAGAATAAATCACCTTACAAGCGGCTGACATGACACGAGATCCATATTTGAACGAAGAGCCGAATAAAACACTTTACATGGAGGTTGAAGTGTACAACACACATGGGATATATAAAGATCTACACACACTGTTTAGTCCCAGTGACTTAACTGTACTCCACTCCATACATCGTTTACTGACGACTGTTGACATTTTTCCAGACTGTACTTATTTCTAAATAATTACACAGCCAAGCAGGGGACAGGTGGTAAATATTGGATGAATGTATTCTCCTGACACACAGACTGAGTTAACCTCACATCACACCAAAATAAAAAATCGTGTTTACGGTAGAGCACTTAGGAAAAACTCTAGTTAAATTTTCTGATTTTAATAAACGAAAAATGATCTTAATTGTCATCATATTCTGGATTTTCTTCTCTGACGACAGACCATAAAAAGCGAGAACACGTCTAAATGGGCGTGAAAATTGAAAAGTGGGAGGGGGAAGAGTGCTGACACCACACTAGGGGACGATGTCCATGATACAGGTGTACATCTGTAAAATTATTCCAATCCTGCAGAACCTTACAAACGCCGCATTTATGACCCTTTGTTTTCCCTTTGTGAGTGCTTTTGAATACAGTTTGGTCATATTGAAGTCCAAAACTTCTTCGCATTCCGCCTGATATTTTTCTCACCGACAAAAAGGGGGGGGGGTCAATAGCGCATTCCCAGTTAAAACGTGGGGGATTTGTATCCCAATCCCCCAGGATTCAAATGACAGTGGTCACAGATTGAACTTTGCTTTTAGTTGCAACTTCCTATCCGTGCTAGAGGTATTTTGTCTACAGCACTAGCGCAATCGACGAAAATGAAATTAAGTGAAAGGCCTCACAAAGCACACCGTAAAAACCAAAAGGCTTCCGTGGCATGGACTGAATACGACATAGATTGTTTACTTAGACTAGGAAGCAAGCGGACTCAGTTTGATCTGCTGAAAAAGGTAAGACGGAGCAATCAAAAGAGGGCGCTGTCATTCCAGAGAAAAGGTGAAGAATTTACGCAGGATTCTGCAGCAGGTGGCGGTTTATGTTTCCCACTTTTTTAAACGTAACTGTTTTGGAATAAATAGTAATATAAATTTCGTGATGTGATTGTTTGAGTAAATATTCTATTCAAAGAGGCAGATGGAATGGCCCATCTGCCGCTGAACAGAATTCTTTCCCTTGCTTTATCGCTCAACAATTGATATGTTTCTTTATTTACAGCATAAGCGACACATACGAGTTCAAAACCGTGTTTATTATGTTAAAAAGAAGATCGATGCCCTGTGTTTATTGACCGACGTACGATATACCATGAAGGAAGGACACAGAAGGAGTTACAACTAAGGCACATCAAATTGCTCGATGATCATCGCTGCAACTAGATTTTTGATATATTGGAATAGGTAGACAAGACACCTCGTCAAAGCTTCAGTTTCCGTTTTGAAGGCTCTAAATTGGAACTGAGCTCCATACTTTTGTAAGCAGGAAGAAGTGGTTTCGAGACCCACCCAAGCACGTTTGTTGTGTTTGTTTTGTCTTTGAGTTTCAACAGTGAAACTGTGGTACGAATATAACCTCGGTGCATGGGCAAAACCTATGAAAGTAATACTTTCAGCGCAAAGCTTAATCAATTAATTTAAGTCCCTAACACTTAGTTGAACCTAACAGAGTCAAAAGAGCCTGAAAGTTGACCCGTTATGGCACGCTTCTGGATCGGAACTCATGGATAGGAAAAATAGCGCACACAATTTTTAGAATTTGCAATATGTTTTCGTTCAATACTTCCGAAAGACTCAACTCAGAAATAATCCTTTGGAAAATATTTGATAGCATATCAATTTATAGAAACTGAAGCGAACCTGACCAAACTACCCTACCAACAATTGGCGTATCACTTCCGAAAATCGAAAATACATGAAAAACGTGCAATTCGGCGGTCTCGTACGTAGATGAACATTTACGGAATTAAACTTTGTGGTAAATGCCAAATATAAAACTGCTCAAAATATTTTACAACATTTTATTAGGAAATAAACTTAAAGCAATAATCCATTTTACGAAAGATTAAAATATTTAATCTAACCTTTACTAAAAAGAACTGCGTCGTGCGAACTCATGCGAATCTGGAACCAATCGACTGCAGGTAGGAAAAACTTTGCCAACCTTTTACAATGTTGTTTTCACGTAAGTTCAGGGTGTGAAAACAAACGTGGTTGGACAAGAAGACCTAGGAACTATACTGCCCGAAGTAAAAGGTCGTTAATGAGTTTCGTGTTTACCAATGTCCACGTGATTTTTCCACAACATTACTTAATTAAGGAAGACAAAGGTAAAATGCCAACATTAGTGTTTCATGGGGTGATTTCAGTTAGGAATCATCCTTCCAAAATTACGTTCACTAATCACGTTATAGGCGGACCCTCCGAAAATTCCAGAAGTTTGCTGCGTGACTTGTTACTTTCAGGCTCTATGCATGCCTCACAGAAATGCTGTACAAAGACTCAAACCTTAGTTGACCAGTGGATGGGTTCACGCACTACCCCCCCCTCAAAAAAAATCCCCCCAAAAAGGAGCGAAAAAACGTTTTCATTTCGATGGACGGACGATTTTGTGGGAATTACATTTCCCTTGATCTCAGAAAATGTTTTTGGATCCACCCTTAGGTAAACCTCACAGATTCTACAACAAATGTTCATACTCACCCAGACTTTGCGATATTAGACCAATAGGTGATCATACGATCGCTAAGCACCCGTTCCTTGTCAGAAAAGAGGTGTCCTATTCCGGAAGCGTTGAACGGCAGTCCGAGAACGTAGGAGAGTTCCTCAGAATGAGGCGCCCCAGCTAAGTACGGATACCTCACACGAGGTGCACTGCGGTGGTCAAACACAAACACGCGCCTGGATTTGGCTTCGCTGTAGAAACTGCCCAGCAGGGTGATCCTGGATAGGAAGTTGTAATCCAACAAGAAATTGGCCGCTTGTAGAAGCCTGTCGTAGGGCCTTCTTTCGAGAGGTAGAGTCCAGTTCCTGTATTCGAAATCGATAGCTTGCCGCACGACGCTGTTGCATTGCCAGCTGGGAGCAAACAAGGACAAGATTTTGTCAAAATCTGACTCTGATAATCCGTAATTCTGCAAGTCGTAGTTAGGAAGGATCTCTGGGAGCAGTTCGAGTAAAGGGGAGCCGTCACCCGATGTTACACCAGCTATGATATCAAATCGGTCAAAGGGTCTTGGATTGGAATATGCCCATGTTCTTTGGTAAAAGTTTCCGTCACAGACGGGCAACCACACCTTAGGGACGATTTCTTCTTCGGCTACTTCTAGGCCAGCCTTCAAGACATCATGGGTAGATTTCCTCCTGAGGCAAGTGACAAGATGGTGAGAGTCTTCCATCGACCTGCCGTGATCCGTACATCCTGCTTTTAGGGCGATTCGTTGTGCGTATTGCTTCATTTGTGGAGTGGATTGGGGGATGCCTGCCGACATCCCGCTATGGGCGATGACTCGTTGAAAGAGGGGTTGGCTATTTACAGCATTGAGGTGTGCCATAACTGACATACCACCAGCTGACTGGCCAAAGAGGGTGACTCGGGACGGGTCGCCACCGAAAGCCGCGATGTTCTCGTGAACCCACCGCAGGGCCAGCTGCTGGTCCAACAAACCGAAGTTTCCCGGTGCGTTCTCGTCATTGGTGGATAGAAAGCCAAATACATTGAGGCGATAGTTGATGGTGACCACAATAACTCTTCCCCTGACGGCCAGAGCAGACGCGTCGTACCCGCTACCCTGACCCGTCTCAAAACTCCCACCGTGGATCCAGAACATCACCGCTTGGCCATCAGATATGTCTTGTTCATCCATCGGAGAAAAAACATTAAGAGTCAAACAGTCCTCACTTACTTTCCGAGCTGAGTCAGGTATGCGAACCACATAGTCAGGGTAATACCGGGACACATCAGAGATATTCTGCGGACAAGAAGGGCCATACTGGACCGCGTTGAGAGTCCCTTCCCATGGCACTTTTCGTACAGGTGCAGAGAATCGCAGATCTCCCACCGGTGGCTCGGCGTATGGGATTCCACGAAACACCCGATAAGGGCGCCCGTCCAACACCCGCGTCTCACCACGTAGTTTCCCGCTGAAAGTCCAAACTTCGGCCTGGTCGGGCACACCAACAACCCCATAAATCAGCAAGCTGACGGCGAATAATCGCGACAGGAGTATCCCAACCCTGAACATGCTGAAGATAAAGGCAGTGCAAGTCCGCGTTCCACAGAAATTCGCTTGCTCGACAGCAGCCGCCGTCCAGTTGTGGCTGGATCTATTGTGCATTAGCGAGCGAAGCGAGTTCATTGCCTCTGGGGTGCGTTTGCAGAATGCTTCTCCGTTTCTCCAGGTATAATCAAGACATGCCGGTACTTTACGCCGCTCTATTGCTCCCTACAGACACCTAATCTATTTACTATGAGAGGCCAAAGAAGTTCACAAGCACGCGAGTTCCCTACATGCGCCACGGACGACTCTGTGGCGTGTGGTGCAAGCAGTATGTTTCAACAGAGGCAGCAACTCGAGAAGGAATGAAAGGTTATTATATGACGCCGACATGTCAGTCGGACAGGTAAAGTGACACGCTATATAGCTGACGTGCTATCCATTATCAACCCACAGGCACTTGCCAATATCGGGTAGCCAATATCTAATGCTAAACATTTTCAAAAAACATAAAGAGCTGAAAGCTAATTGAAAAAAAAAACAGCACGGTGTTAAGAGAAATGCTGCTTTATTTTAAAGGTAAACCTTTAATGAGAAAAACAGATAAAATTCCCCCAGTAATTCTTCCAAGCCGTTTAGAAATCCGATTTGATAATTTTGTATCAGTTTCAAAGCAAATCAGGCTACTTTTGACTTAAACTATTATTGTGGGCAGCAGCAGAATACAAAAAGCAATAAACGAAGATAGCGCCTGAAGTGTGATCAACGTGGAACACACGGAGCTTACAGTACAACTCACATCTTTAATAACGACATTCCAATTATCCAGTCACTTCGTAAGGACGTGAACCCGGGACAAGTTTGGGAGCAATGTACAACTCGACCACGGGTCTGTCATCAATGTACAAACACAATACGACTCTACTCAAACGACCCTAGTCGGACCATTTTGCAAAATAGCTCCATCGCCTCACATAATTATTTCGCCGTTAATTGCATCGTCGACTGTGTTCATGGTATCTGCCATTTTGCACAAAAGTCCTCTCGCTACTTCATTACGAAAAGGGCTGCTAATAACCAGTGATACAACAGTGCCCTAGCTTCTGGTTCCAATTAATAATTGACCATTGTTGGGGACATGCTGGTTGAAATGTACATGTATATCGCTGACCAAGGCCGTCTCTCGAACTTGCCTATGCAAGCCTATAAAGAAGCTATGAAAGCCCGTGATCCGACCAACCAAAATTCTAGTGCAAGTACATGTAGCCTATATGTAAATCAACTCACTCAGCAATGCAGCATACCTCAAAAAGCTGGACAATGGGCTTTGAGCTGAACTTAGGGCGCAATTTTCTCAGCAACAGAGGCTCCTTTGGTCGGAACTGAACTCCGCTGTTTTACGAACAACTGTGAAATGCACGCGTTACGGTTGCATCTACCAACAAAATGAACACTACATGCCGACCAATGTTGTTCTTTTTAACCAGCTAGGGGGCGCTTCTGCTCGAGGCGGATAGATCAGGCATTTAGTTCAATCCCTTCAGAGATGTTTCGTTTTCAGGGATTTTCGTTTTTTTCAACGAGTACCTATTTTCATTTTTTGTCATTTGTACAAAACTCCTCACCGAAGAAAGGTTGTGGTACAGTCCCATTTTGAAAAGTGCAGAAGAAGAAGAGAAAAAAAAACCAACCAAAAAAAAAAAAAAAACAGTGGGAGGGAGCGGGTTTTTCCCTCCCCAACTGTATATAGGCCTACACCACTGAATTCTTACAATGATTACGTATGTTACAACAGAAGAAAACTTGAAAGTAAGACTTTCAACCAAGCACATTATGAAGCCAGCGAACCACCCAGCTAACTAGTCAGCATGTCAGTCACCGGAACAGATTGGCCAAACAAATAAGCCTACCAGGTTGTTAACCATTCAGCCCACAAGCCAGAAAATCTGTCAACCAACAAGTCAGCCAGCAAAACGTTGCCCGTCAATAGAGGCGAAATGGAATGGCCGCCCTATTTCCTTACGTGAGGACCATTTTATTCAATCACTGCCAACTATTTACATTGGTCTTCTGAACTAATAGAGGCCTATTCTTTCTCAAACTTTCCAAAAATGAACCCTATTTTTTTCTCGAATACATCAATTTCTTATCCTCGCTGCTATTGCAGGCGCTTTGAGAAACAAGGGCGACGCTCAATCACGGACTCAATAAAAAATCAATCATTTATGAGAAGTATTACGCCGCGTGAACTATCAGTTCCCATCTTTCCTGCCGTAGGTTCCATTTTGTAAATCTATCTTGATTTAACTAAATTGTCTCTTCGTCAATGCACAGCTCACTGTGCTAAGGGCTGAGGCAAATTATGCAGCACACACGATCGACGACGGGGGAGAAACACGCTGGTTTTAGACTCGCAAACACGGAACTACGGCTTAAGGTGGGCACGAACTGTGGAGCGGATCGTGACCAGGAATAAAGGCAGCCCCTGGCAAGATTTAGACGGAGAAGGGAGGCGCGTGCATTTGGACGAGAATGTCCACTTAAGTTTATTAATACTCTGACATTTGCTGGGAAACCAGGGCAGGTTTCCCCTTATATCTAAAGTCCTTTGCGTTTCAAAATAGATGGACATATATAAATAAAGACAATGCCAAACCACTGGTGCATCAAATTATATTGTCCTCTTTCAAAAAATATCGAAAATCATTTACCTGATACAAAGTTTCAAAGAAAATGTTTTAATTGATAAAAATTGAAGTAAAACATCTGCTGAGAGTACAAATAAAAGTATTGTTGCAGTGGAATTGGTTAAAGAAATACCGACACTATCTACAACTAAAGTCTCTCTTACCGAGAAACATTAACTAAATGGATAATTTTTAATGTCCAATCATACTCTAAAACTTAAGATTCTTCTAGAGAAGTCAACCTTTTTAAGAATTTTTAAGAAAAACAACGTTACAACTAAAATATTTAATAGTATTTGTCCATAAGTGACTGCAAAATACCAAGTGGGCTGCATGTGTTTATACAAGAAAGTTTAAAGAGAAATTAAGCCACGTATTGGTATATGCAGTCCCGCCTCATTGTCTTTTTTTTGATGATTTTTAAATTCATGAACGACACGAGATGTCGCATATCAATGAGTCAACACTTTAAAATCACCTCCTTTATTTTGATCTTGATTTCTGTATTGCCACTGAAATCATCTGCAACTTTAAATTCGCAATCCAAAGAATGTCCCATTGCAATCCCTTTGGCATTTTGTTTTTCAATATCTCTTTGCAAAGCATTCCAAGCCTTGTTTTGACAATTTGGTACCACGTGAAGCGGAGACATACCACTCCGTGTAATATAATGAGATTATCTGCCGCCAGGGAGTTAGTATTTTGTATCATCACCTTGAATGCCACGGGTTACACTGATACTTGGAGAATACTTAACATGCACTCACGGCATGAATACCATATCCATTACCCTAGCACAGCACTTTGATAATGCAGTACACAGGCATTATTTTACCATTTTAGAATCTAAAATCAAATATTTCCCAACAAAATTAAAACGTTTCTCTATTCTGAATTCGTGTCTACACTTCAGACACAGATAGACTCGAGGTATATAGGTGTACGCAGAGGAAAAACGTATGCATATGTCAACGTAGCCCTGAGGTAAAACAGTGGGTGCTCAATACTACATGTATTCGCTGATTGACAAGTTTCGAGAATGAGTGAAGCAAAAGGTGATTAAAGGTGAAAGGTGATTAAAACTAAGATGCCGGTTAGCTGTTGTCGTTGGATCGATGACATAACTATTTCCCTTCTCTGAAAGCAGACGAACACTACTGTGGCATTTTGTGGAAGAGGGCTTTACATTCATTTGAATTTGTAACATACATTTAAGTTGTTTCGGCATAATAAATTCAACAAATGGGTACTGGAATGTGAAATACAATAGACACTGTACTACAACTGAGCAAGAGTCAAGGTCTAATCTTTAGTACGTTTGGGGTATGTACCATGCGAACAACGACCGAATTAAGATGATTCCAAAACGGTATTCGATAGAAGATAGAGATATCAACAGGAAATGCGAAAAATAGATGAGCACATGAAAATGTACTTAGTAAATGCCACAATACGGTTCCGGACGGTCGTTCACTGAATGACCCAACATGGCGAACTATTAGGATTAGTCCTCTCCTGCTGGTGATGCCTCATCAGCTGGTAATTCAGGAGCCTCGGCTGGTGATGCCTCATCAGCTGGTACCTCAGGAGCTTCGGCTGGTGATGCCTCATCAGCTGGTACCTCAGGAGCCTCGGCTGATGTCTCTGGATTTTCAGGTGCTTCTATCGCCTCATCTCCAGTAGGCTTGTTATCTGTCTCCCCATTCTCTGCATTAATAGATGGCGTATCCGGCACATCCACAGCCGCATCCATGTCATTCAAAGCCTCATCAATTGCCTCGTCGTTGTAACCCTCGTTATCCACGCCCGCCCCCGTCACCTCTGCTGCAGCTACCACGGACGATGATGGACTGTCCAGTACAGGTGGCTTGACGTCAGACTCGTTGTCGTTGACATCAGGAGGGCCCGGGAGGGGCGTTTCAGGTGGAGGGGGAGGCAAGTCTACCTCGTTCAGCTCCGAATACACCATGGCACCAGGACCTCCATTCTTCTTCGATTTTTGCCCCATTTCCAAGTCTCTGAGTTTCCGTCGGAGTGTACTGACCTGGGCTGCGTACCCACAGGCAACGGCGATCACCAGTATGCATACTAAACCAACAACACCTAGCGCGATCACCATGACGAGAGAAAAAATCCCAGCATCGTGCGGTGTTAGATTCAAAGGGCCCCACACATTGTCCAGACACGGGCCTGGCCCGATCATCTCACCTTCCGGGCCAAGTTCTTCACGAAAGACACTTTGGGTTGTCAGATCCATGGCAGTTGCACACGTGAGGCAAAGTTCAACAAGTAATAACTTTCTCCAAAACGCAGCGCTTGTGTACGAAGCCGATCCGTAGATGCACCAATTCTGGGTGGATCCAAAGCTGTCAATGAATCATGCTTACGAAATTTACCGTAGGGCTTTCGAACAGAATAACTTCATTTGAATGACAAACAGCAGGACAATAGGGAACCGCGGAGAACTAACCGTTCACAAAGCTCACTCAAGCGAGAAGGCTACCTCCACCTGTAGAAAATACAGGTTATAACCACGTATCTGAATGACAAAAACTTTATTGTCCGTGCAAATGCCTACAACAAATGTTGGGCTTGATGTGTGGGGTGTGCAGTTTAAGGGGTACAGGATGAGTCAACACGACGGGGCGGTCCACAATTTCGTAGAGTGGGCAAAAAACGGAACACGCCATCGAGGTTGCATCACTGTTCTTTCCTTTTCATGATTCTGAACTACTTTTGCCCGCATTTTTGCACTTTGGCGGGCATTTCATTTTTGAAAGTGAGCAAGTCTATTGAATAACTTGACTGAAATTTCTAAGCACACGTAAAGAAAAGCGATTGCAAAATACACTATGTCTGTAAAACTGTTTTCAAGTTAAGGATGACGCTTATAAATCTAACTTCAGGGCGAAAGCCTGGTAAATTGATAGCGAAATAATTAAGCACGAACAAAAACACATGTAAAAAAAATCACATAGGAACAGTTACAACAAAGCGTTCACCTGAAAACAACTGGAGGCAAACGTATGCTTAAACACGTTACAAAGGCAAAAAAAAAAGTGAAGCAATTATTTCACATGTATTTGACTCACCATGAACGTAAGTTCTATGGAGAAATTTGTTTCAACGATCGAACAGCAGTAAAAAGATCGAACAGCAGTAAAAGTTCTATGGAGAAATTTGTTTCAACGATCGAACAGCAGTAGGCAAACCCACGACCACAAACTGCATTCTGCGCAAAAAAATCGTCTTGGCAAGATGGTATTTATTTAAGTTCTATGGAGAAATTTGTTTCAACGATCGAACAGCAGTAGGCAAACCCACGACCACAAACTGCATTCTGCACAAAAAAATCATCCTGGCAAGATGGTATTTATTTATTTATTCCATTAGTCTGTCCATTTTCAATATGCAAAGCAACACCAGTGACCAGAAATTATATACCTTGTTTTTTTCACAGATGAATGAAGCTGACTATAAAACACAAACATTTCTCAGTGTGTGTGTGTATGTTGCATAAGTGCTTGAGGGGAACTGATCGCCTCTCAAGATAAGTTCACTGGAGACTATCGCCATGGCAACCGAGATACCTCTATTTACCGTCTGCAGTGAGGTGAGACAAAGGAGAAAGACTGCCGAAAATTGGATTGGTCAGGGAGAAAGCGGCAGGGGCAAAAATGTGGGAAGAAAGCGATGAAATTTACAACGACGAGTGCGAGGACAGTGCACTATGGGAAAACCATAATACTACTGACGCCAATGATGACGACCGACTGCGTCCACTGCGCAGCATTTGCAAAACACTTAACATTTACATGTAATATGCACTTTGGTAATCATGACAAAAGCGTGTGTGTGAACCAGAGAGCTCATCAACATGACTCAACTTCTGGACAAGAGGCTTTAAAACAAGGCAGTTTTACCATCAAAAATTTAAAGGATATTTGCTGTATTTCACTCTGATTTCTAGTTGCAATTAAACTTCAAACATGCGACTCCTTTCATGTACAATATGTGTTCTTGAAAAATGGCACTTCAGAAGAACACCACACCATGCTTGCACAGTAGACAATCAAAAATGATTATCTTTTGCAAACGGTTGTTACATTTACAGGACCGTAAATGTGATGATCGTTCTTTGCGATGATTCAATTTTTTTCAGCACTACTCGCATACTACAATTTACTTTCAGTAAGACACATCTCTCACTGGTCACACTTTTTTCATTTAAAACATGTGGACCGTTTTTAACTGCCCAAAAGTCTTAAACCGAAATCAAAATTTATAAACATTCAATAAAGACAACGCTGATGTTTTCATTAAATAAAATACATTTGAAATCGAGCATAATTACATATTAATTGAACTCCTGCTACTCTTCAATATTATGCGATAAAAGTGTATTCTTTAACATGCATATGAACATGCATTCTTCATTTTTCGATCAGGGTAGATGACGCAAGGGCAATGATGATGGCTTTTTAAACCATCGCCCTCCGTCTGACCAATATGAAATATTTACAAACAAATTGTAATACCTAGCAATTCCTTTCCAATGGGTAAAAACCGCTGCAATAAATGTAGTACGGGTATACTTAAGATATAGCACTAAATCTTCTAGATTCAGGGTGTTTTTGGTGACATAGTTTTCCTTTTTTTGTACGGCCTACGTCGATCCCCTCCGGTGTGTACATGTACATTGTGCATTGAATGATCAAGACAACTATTAAATTGGGAAGACATGGAGAACCCACTGAGGTACTGTCTAGCGCCAAACGCTAAGCCTGCAGTCAGTGTCCAAGACTAGGTCTACAGTCATATGCGTGCTCGTGACAGGCAAGAAAGTCATCATGCAAAACGACAGTTCTTATTGACCTCTGGTGACCTTCCTTGCCCATGAAACTCTGTGTACGGTAAGTGGGGAACCATCGAAATCCCGCTTCTGCCTCCAAAGGTTAAAAAAGTGATGGATTTAACAGGATAACACCCCCGAAAGTAATCTCGGATTCTGAACGATCCCTATGATATTAGACCCTCAAAACGAGAAATTTGGCAAAAGTTCAGGATTATTTCTGCAGTAAAGAAGTAAAGGATGCCACTGGATCATTGTGAGGCTTTAAAATGACCCGAACTCACAAGATTTAACAAGCAAATCACACTTTTTGGGGACGTATTCCTGCACTGAAATGTTGTCTGATGGTCAATTAAGAGACGGAACATGGGTTTCTCCAGCGTTTTATGCCAAAAGAAATTTTGCATCCTGGCGCCACACTTCATCACCAAAATCTGGGTTTTTGTGACCTGCACCTTTTGGTACCAGTACATAAACATACACAGTTCAAGCTAAGGGGTGGTTCGGGAAACTTAAGAACATAAAGTGACAAAGATTCCATTATTTCATACTCTGGTTTGTAACAATGTTCTGTTTAAAATTCTCAAAATACTTTCTCTCAGTGAGATATTCCACAATTGCCACTGTCAGTCACAATAAACCTCTCAACGAACCTCCCATCCTTGATCAAAATTTCCTTCAAGCAACAAACAGTAAACTAGGGAGGGGTTACCAACGGATGCGTATGCTCCTCAGTGGGACTGAGCGATCTCTGAGAAGAACTGAAGCAGATCTTCCACTTTAAATTCCAAGGTGACATTGGCGCCAGGGTAGCAACGATTGATCAGGCCCTCAAAGTGTTTGTACTGGCGAATGAATTCCTCTTGCATCAAGTGCCAGGCCACCTGCAAGGTAGGGATAGAGTACGGGGTAGTTAGAGACTCGGGAATATGGGTGAATGCAGAGCTTCAACTAGACCATCAAAGGTATCAAGAAGGTGAAGGCAGGGGAGAGAAGGAAAGTTGTTTCACAGCGTGGGCACTGCCAGGATTTGGGGGGGGGGCTAAGCAGCAACTTGTCAACAGTGAAGGGGATTTCATTCCTAGGAATTTATAAGTAAGTAGGTGATTTCCATCACCTTTCCCCTCTTATGTCCATTTCTTCCCCTGTTTGTTTTCTTTTCCCTTATTTTACTGTCCAGTATTTTTCGGGGGGGGGGGGGGGGGGNCTTTTCCCTTATTTTACTGTCCGTGTTTTTTGGGGGGGGGGGGGAGTGGCTAGAACTCCCCCCGACCTTCAATTATGCCCAAGTTTCACAGGTAACATTTATGTGATTAATTTTGGGCTATGGGAGTACAGGAGAGGTATTTTTTATTGAGCAACAAATCCTGCAAGGTTCACATATTGCAGGTGCTTGGTTGTTTAAATCTGGCAGAGAGTAGACACAAGCAATTATTTTGCATATGCAGCACAGATGAGTGCATGGTCGCTGGGCAAACAACACAGATGGTATACAAATCTGTACATAATGTATTCTGCAGTCATGTCTTGTCACTATGGAGCCTCAAGTGAGAAGCAATGAATATAAAATGAGTGCATAATGAGCCAATTTAATATTCAAAAAAGCAATCTCATTCAGGAACAAAGCACATGCATGAACCTGACCTCACAAATGAATGACCCCATGAAATGGTTTGTTATGGGTATAAGCTACTGGAATAACTAACTGGCTCACTGCATCTGAACAACTCGAAATGACACATCATTTCTCAACCCTTAACGAACCAGGGTGGAAACCACTCCCACATTTTCTCTGACATCACAGAGAAGCACTTGTTTCATTATCTCAAGGCCTCAGGAGTTTTCAACTGATGACCTGAGGTCATTTGGACACCTATCCTCTTTACAGAACCACACATTTGTCAAAAGGGGAAAGTTGCATGGTGCTACTGCAAACCTTCGCCAGTTGATACCACCATGCACGTACCTTGCATGTTTCAAGTCCTACTTAATATTTATAATAATCAGTCATGCAATTCTTGCAAATGGCCATTGTTTAAATAAAAACAAGTTAACTTTGCCCACTGACATGCTAAGTGCACATGGACCAATGCACATAATAGCATGAGATATAAATGACTAGAAAAACAAAATCCCACTGTCTGATGGAATTGAAACTTCACAGATTACTATGAATGTATTTCCTACATGCATGCTGAGCATGCCCCTTACTGAGGAAGGGAATTTTAAAAAGGCTCTTTTAAGTTTTAGGGTTAATAGGATATGTATGTCTTCATTTTCAAGCAAAAGAATGTTGGAAAGTACTCAATCTTCACACAAAGGTAAACATTTCATCCCTCACTCCGTAACAACTCTCCCTGCATTTTGACACATCACTACAATCCCAACTTCTCAAACTGTGTGTTGACTTTTGTCGTTTGTGAGTAACTCAATGTGTGTGGGTGACTGAAGTAATGGACACCTTTGGGGGAACCTGCCTGCCTCACCTGTCTGACAATGAAGACAGACAAGGCAAATGTTTGGAAGTGCAAAATGCTCTGGAATTTCTCCAAGAGATTTGTCACGGGAAAGCAACTCAATGGACCTGGTTTCCAAAATTGAAAACTGAGACATCACGGGGGGGGGGTGCAATATGAAGTAGTAGGGTGGGGTGAAGGGTCAATATTTTTAGGCCAAATCTCAACAGCCTTAAAACAGCCAGGTCTGAGGAATCAGTAGATTGAGACAAGGATAAGGCTACAGTTTGACAGCTTCAATCAAAAAAATTGTCCTGGTTCTCTAATCCTGTCTTGATTGGTTGGGCACACATGCCAACTTCCATCAGGCCAGCACAGCTCAACATCTTGATTTCTGTTTATTTTTGTTTTCAACTTCTCTGAAAAAAGTGCAACAGATTTCACACCAGACTCACATTAGAGACAGAGGAGTTTTCATGGGTAAAAAAAAGACAATTGTAACACTTAACAAAAACCAGGAATTTCACCTTATCGTATAAACACATAAGGGAAGGCCTCTCACTCCCAAAGATAGAGGAGATGTTAATTATGTGAACTTGAAATTGTACTAAAAACCCCAACACACCTCTAACAGGATGATGCTAACTCTAATCTCTTCCCAAGGGAACTAAGCCCTTTTTATGGAGAAAAGGTGCACTTGTCAACAGACATAAACTCCTAAGTGTGTCACTATGCTTGTATGTACACCATTAATTTCTCAGAAGTGCATTAACATGGTTAAGACCACAATTCCAATGCAGTTAGGCATTGGACCTATCCCTTTATTTACCTACTGTGAGGTCAATAGAGGGCGTATGTAAGTGCTGTCAGGGGCTTAGGTAAACAAACACCCAGAGCATGTGGCTGCTGTGTAAACATCAGCACAGGTTCAGTGTTATTACATGTACCTACTTAATTCCAGGGTAAGGTGTATGGTTTGAAAGATAAGATTGTTGGGAAACCCATCAACTCTAACAGTAAACTGATCTGGATGTAATCAACTGCTTACATGTATCTTGCAGACCTTGGAATTTTACATGGAGGGGCACATCCTTTCTGATTATGTAGCTTCTTTTGATTAACAAAGAAATGTTACAATTCACTGCTGGAGTAGCTTCAATGAAAAAGAAACAATCACACAGTTTATCCATTCAATGCTACATTATTCCATGGAACTGTTGTATTTTTGGAGCTCAGATCGGTTTTGGGTCAGATTTGGTTTTATATCAACCAGTGTAACATTTCAGGTTGGTTTGGTCTGTGCAACCCAATGCATAGCACATTAGTTTGATATACCCGTTGGCTTGTGACCTGGTTTAAGACTAGACTTGTAGGCAGTGGTGATGAACATGGCTTCAGCATTTCTGACCCAACATCACCAATCCTTGGTATTTCTCTCCTCAAAACTGTTGCTATCTCCACACCAAACATTAAGGAAAGCCAAAACGTGCTTCAAGTAGTAAACATTTTAAAGGTTAAAGAGTTTTCTCTCCCCAGAACACATAACGCTACTGGATGTTCAAGAATACTGTGGTGCACTAAAAGAGGACACACGTAAATGAGTATGTGCTTTGGATTAAAAACTCCCCATTTTTTCTTCTTTTGTTTAAACTTGAACTGTTCCTGCACCAGTACCATCGGTTTTGTATACCATTGTCAACTGAGGACATACTCAATATGGGCATTTCACAAAAGTGCCCCTCCAAGAGTTTGCAATGCACTGGCTAATCAATGCACGAAATCTGTTGATCCAAAATGCATTTGGCAAAGGTCGAAAAATTTTGCTCATTGTAATTGGCCAACGAGTTGCAAACTCCTGGAGATGCACCATTGTAAATCGCCCGTATTAGAAAACAATTTTGCTGATGTTGGTTCTCAATATGCTACACATGTGGACATGTACATGCTCCACAATCTCAGGGTCCTTCGTCAGTAATACATGTACATGATAGTCTTATTGCTTTCAAACACTTGGATGTTCCCCCTAATACTGCAATAATCAAAACAAATTAGGTGTGAAAGCAAGCAAATACTGCTGACATCAACCTCCAAGCATCCAACAAATCTCCACACCCCAGAACTAATCATCACCTGAGTTCCTTTGGGGCCAACAGAGGTGGCTGGACTGCATTCTCCCAGAGGCACTTGTACACAAACATCCAAGGTGTGAAAATGAAGCAAATGTAAACACCTGTTATTTACTGGGATCTAGGTGCACTTAATGGAGAGCTACCCCACCGTCTGCCATCTCACCAGGCAATATGAGACTTTAGATGAACAAACACTCTACAACTGCAGGTGCCGAAAGGCTACTTTTACGATGAAAAAAGCCAGGGGATGAACTGAAAAATATCCATCAACCTGAGGAGAATTTGAAATACACTTGAAAATGTAGTCCCAGATAATATGGTCTGAAAGTGAACAGGCTTGCAAGTGTTTGTTGTACAGGTGGGGGGGGGTACGTACAGACTCCACCGTCAGCTTCATTTGAAGCATCTACATGTATTTACTGCATCTAAATCAGCACTCAATTACAGTACACAGGAATGGAAAGTTAGCCATCAGAGTGGGGAATTCTTGAAGTCACTTTTTCTCTCTCCAGGGAATTCACTTCATTTCACACAATTGAAAACACCTTCCACACTGGGAAAACATTTTCATACCTTTTCATACAAGTAAAACATTTTCACACTTTTTCACACATGCGGGAAAACATTTTCACATCTTTTCACAAAAGTGGGGCAACTTTTGCACACCTTAAAAAAGGAAATCTTTTCCACAAAACTTCCCATACCCAGTCACAGTGTTAACTTCCAATTGCAATGCTTTATGTCTTCAAGGTCTTTTACAAGACCAAAAAATTCAACTTCTGACTTAAGGCTTAAAAAAAAATCTTTTGCTATTGACAACCTCTGCAGCTTCTACTTGTTGCCATGTTTAACAGTGACATCACCTTAAAAGGTGGACTACAAGTTAATCTGAGACGTGAAGATCAGTCTTCACTGAACATACGGTACATTCAAATTGGATGTTATGGGCCTCGAGCTGGACCAAGAGAGGGTGTTATTTCCTTAGCAACGTTGGCTCCTTTGGTACTAACTGGTTCATGAATGACCAGGAAACCCAAGCATTGCAGTCAACTAGCTACCAACAAAGTGAATACTTCCAACTAAAGCAGCTCTTTTCAACCATTAAGGGGTACTTCTGCTCGAAGCAGATATCCAGGTCTCATCAAGAGCCAAGACAACAAATGTACAAATCTAGCTGAGGTACAAAGTGAACAGAAATATCCATACAAATCCCAGTAGCACCATCCCCCCATCATAAATACTTACATTACACACCAAGTGTGGTACGGTATTCTATACCTGCCATCTCGCATTTTGTATCTAGCATAACATTTCAAATCTTGCATCTCGTATCCCAAATTGTATTTCGCATCTCATGTCTTGCTTTATATTGTAAATGTAAGCTTGTTATTTGATACACATTTTGTATAAGTTGAGGCTGCGCAGGCTTTTGCCATTGCTGTGCTGTAGCTGCCTTGTGGTTCCTGTCTTGTAGTGCATATACTCTGCAATCTGCATTGCCCAGTGTTTGAATTAATTAAGCATTTGTTGTACTTTGTTTGGCAGATTCAAGATACTGTAGTGCAATCTAGGTTGTGATTTTCCAGTTGAAAACTATAATATACATGAATATTAAGAGCCTGATACAGGAGTAATAAAAATATGGTTGGCTCTTCAAATCAATTCTTACTAAAATGGCCGAGAGTAAAAAGTTAACTTTTGTGAGTTAACTTTGACCCAAATCTGGTTCACGTGAACAGAACAACTTGAATTTTCCTTACTAAAACCACTGTTGCTATACCTCGTGATTTGGGGCAAGCTTTTGCTTAGTTACATGAGAGACAGCTTGCAACAGTACACTGGTCTCAATGGATAAGAAGGGCACAAAGGAACCAGTCCATTCCAGAGATGGTGGTCGCTGTGCGAAAGCTTTCCCCGAATCACGAGGTAGAGCAACAGTGTCTTTAGTCTGGGGAATTCAAATTGTTATGTTTATGTGCAGTCAGACAACTCAGTGCACCAGATTTTATTCAATCAACTCGCAAATGGCTTATTGCACTGTATTATCGATGTAATTTCATCCTGTAATTCGTCAAGATACATCTTCTCCAAACCAATACTGAATCTGAATAACTGTATTATTGATTTACCTTCTCACTACTTCTGTCTCTTTGTTGATTGCTTACGAGAAATCATGAGCATGTTTTTGCTTGGTACAGGAAAAGGGGGGGGTGATTTCTGTGGACCATCTCCAGTCCAAGTTAGGATATATAACCTGCCCCCGAGGACTTACACCAATGCCTACATTATTATTGCTGTTTCCTGCATTTGTTGCACACAATCAGACCTGTCGCTGTTTGGCAGTGTATTACATTTATCACGACGTGAGATGCGAGATTCGAAATGTAATGCGAGATGAGAGAAGCAAGATGTAAATTTGAAATTGAATGGGAGATTTGTAATGCAAGATGCTAAATCTAAAAAAAGGCCAGATGGTAAGGGAAGATGTGAGTAGGCAAGGCAAGATGGCAGAAACAAAAACACCATAGTGTGGACATTCCTTTCTTTTCACATAGTTGAGAAAACTTGATGAATACTTATTTTTCTCACACTGTGAATACCATCTTAAGCTGGATTTTTGTTGGTTTCCATGACTGTTCCTCTTCATTTTTCTACATGTACCCTTAATCCAAAAATGTCTCTAAAATTGTTTTCCATAAAAAGGATAACCTTGCATAGACATACATATATGGCTTGACAAGGCTCACAAGACCCGCATTTTGTGAACTTCTTCTAAAATGTTATTTTCAATCTTTTAAGTTTTCACCAGTGCTTGGCAGTTCTCATTTAATAAGTCTGGACAAACAAATTGTCCCTTCAATACGCCTTGAAACACACACCAAAATACTTCATTTGTCAGCAGTTTTATGATTAAACAAACACCATCCTCTCAACTGACAAGATAACAGAGAGATAAAATCTACAGTTTATTTGAAGAGCGCCCTCTATGGTTGAAGGTTGGTATATCTCCTTCAGGATGTACTTACCTGCATCAAGTTTTCCTCTTCACACAGTGTCTTCTCCATCTTTTTGTACAGGTTGTCAAGTCCTCGTCTCACCTACAATGAAAAGAACTTTTACATTGAAATGAATACTGGTCAATGTGCCAGAACAATTCTAAAAGGTTTAAGTCCATCATTTTGTCATTAGTGCATTACGTTCCTTTGAGGCAACAAATGTGCTCAACATCTAAAGAAGGGTGCATGTCTAACAACAAATCTGATGAACTTCACCTTCAGTGAATGCTGTATATTCTGGGGAAAACAATCTTCATCTATCTCAATTTCGAATGAAAAGTTGCCAAGTCATGTATTGAATGGTGTCCAGAACACATTCTCATTCAGTCGTACTCTGAGCCAACAAATTATAGTAACCGTGCGTACGTGTCAAGTCAATGTGCTTCACCAAATTAAAAATTAAGACTGACGGCAATTTCCCAAGGATCCATCTTTAGATGCGTGATTGGAAAGGGCCATCTTTCATTGTTATCTTCAAATGACAGCTTGTCAGAAAAAATAAATTCCCAGAGACTTGATACTCCTATGACAATCTTTAAATCAAGTATGCTTGTCAAACAATAATTTTGTCTTCAAGATGTATTTTGCGTTGGGGAGATGTTAATT